ACCCCTTTCAGGGATCCTTAAGCTGCTGTGACCTCCCACCAGCCCCTTTTCACCTTTGTGCCTGTAGCACTTAGTCCCTCTTGTTTACAAGTAAGAAAACCCAACCAGGGTAACATAAGCAAAAAATGGTGCTTTTGTAAGTAGATGGACTTCCTAAAAGCATGAGGTGCACAGCCAAGCCTGCGTTGAGCGAGTCTCTCCCTCCCTCTCCTGTCCCTGCTCACTCTGGGAGACAGCTTTACCCTTTCCTTTCCTTAGGACTTTTTCTGCTCTTTTGTCCCTGAACCCATCCAGCCCTGGCTCCCAATATCACAAAAGAGACTGACTGGATTCTCTCATACCCAGAATTCCAAATTCCTACACCTAAGAATCTGATTGGCCTAGGTGGATCAAGTGTCTTCTCCTTGTCCAATCAGGAATGTTGAGGGAGGGATTAAAGTGCAAAACACATGGCTCCCAGGATCCCATTACTGTGGCTGCATGAATGAGGGAAGAGGGGCCTTTGGGAACTAGGTAAAACTTTCAAAATGTCTTTACTCTGGGGTGGTGCCTGTGCCTCAAAGGAATGGGGGTGTGGACACCACATGCCGGAGATGGCGGGTTCAAATCCAGCCCCGGCCTAAAACTGCAAAAAAGAAATAAAAAACTGTCTACTCTGTACAGGCTGCCTCTGGGTCAGCTTCTATGTATTATTATCATTTCTCCACATTCTTCCTTGGCCCTTTCATGCATGTAAGTTCACAGGATTTCACAAATATAGTGCTTTCCTATTTCATGCTTAATTCTTGTAGAAGCAGAGGCGTGAATCTTAATACAGTGATAGCACCCAAGATAGGCAGATTTTGTGAATGGATGGTATAAGAGTCCAATATTATTGTCATAATCAGAAACTAAAGTATTCTTATTTTGGAAAACCAAGCGGGGTCCACTTCTTTCTCCATAATTTTATTGTTATGGTGTCCTCTCTAGATAGTGTGATCAGGGGCATCTTACCTTTTGCCATGACTTACACTGTCACCATGTGCATAGTAAAAATCAGCCTCTTTCCCCACCCTCCTGATAGCCACATCTGTCACAATGTGACTTCAGAGCTCCTTTTATCAAAGGGAGGCATCTGTTTCCACAGCCCTTGGGCTGGGTATGATCTGCCTTAGTGGATAGAATATGGCAGATGATGGCTGCTGGTTTTGAGTCTCAGTTTCCAGGCCTTCATGTTGCCACTTGCTCCCTTGGAACCCTGCCGAGGTGCTGTGAGAACAGCTTGAGCCACTCCTGCTGCAGGATGTCCCAGTTACCCTCTTCACTTCAGCCAACAGCTAGCTAGCCAACGGCCAGCCCTCAGCCAGCCCACTAGCTGATTGAGATGGATGAATGGCCACTGTTGTGCTTGGCTAGGCATGGGACAGACCAACAGAGCCACCCAGCTGA